AGAGGACGCATGCAAGGAGGCTGGGCCTGCTATGGCCTCAGCCCAGCCCTGCTGGCCCCAGACCCAGGCGCCTCGGCCTTGCCGGGAGGGAAGCAGAGGTGGGTACCACTGGAAGGGTTCTGCCTGCCGTGTCCTGGCGACATCTGCCCACCGGCGTCTAGGGGTGCCCCAAAGCATCTTCAATGCGGTTGACCCTAGTGGGCCCCACCTCTCTGTGGATGGCGCTCAGGTCCCCTCTGCCCCAGGGGTGCCTGGAGACCAACTTCATGACACCACCCTAGGGGACAGAAGCCAGAAGGGGGATTGACCAGAGCCAGGGCTGGGCAAGGTACTCTGGCCAGCCTGGACCCCGCCTCCTCAGAACCTTTGGATACCTGGCACCCCAAACAGCCTGCTGTGGGTCCCCCGCCCCTGTGTTCTGGGCCTTCCAGCCATCTCTGAACCGCCACCCTGGCCCAGGAGCTGGTGCCCCTCACCCAGCCCCAGACCTGCCCCTGCTCGCCACCAGTCCAGGCCAGTCGCCCTCGGCTCAGGCCCTTGTCCCCAGACGCCCGTGCTCACAGGCCGCACTCCACCTCCCTGCCTTGGCGGTGAGGCCTGGTGATCTCCGGGGCCCTGCGGGGTCACGCTCTCTGGGTGCTGCGTGGCTCTTCCAGCCCTGCTCTGGGGGCAGAGCACAGCGCAGTGAGCACGCCGTGGAGACCAGCCTCACGGAGCCAGCGCGTGTGATCACGGGGGACCGGTCTTTGCGCAGTCGTAAATGGAGAGGGGCCCACCAGGGTGGGGCCTGGGCTGGGGGTCCTGGCTGGGGAGGTGCTGGGTGGGGAGGGGTCCTACATGGGGAGGGGCCTTGACTGCGTGGTGAGGGAGGGAGCTACCTAGACCTGGGAAGGACTTCATGGAGCAAGAACAGTTGGTGCGAAGAACCAGCCAGGGCTGGGGAGGAGAGGCAGGGAGGCAGGGGTGGCAGTCAGGGCCCCAGGGCCGGGGGTCAGGCCTGAGGGGGAGGCTTGGGTGTGCTGTGACCGGACTCTGTCATCACATCTGAGTGACTCCGTGACTGAGCGACTCTGTGGGCTGAGAGCCAGGGAGGAGGCCCTGGAATGGGGCCCTGCAGATCCCACGGGGCAGCCTGGGGTGGTCACTGCCCTCGGAGCAGTGTCCGTGGTGGGGCCCAGAGAGGCGGTCACTGCTGAGCACCGCAGCCTGCACTGTGCACAGACAACCGGGAGTGCCCAGGTGGGCGGCGCGCTCTCCCGGCACCCCGGGCCCAGTGCAGGTCTCCCGGGGGGCCACCGCTGGCCGGCTGCCCCTGCTGGGCCTCCTGACTAACTGCAGGTGTGGAAGTGAGAGTGTCAGGGAGCCCCACCCTGCGCGGTGGGACTTACAGAGCTGCCCACAGAGAAGCGAGAGCTGCCTTTGCCTGAGAGTGGTCTCCCTGAGCCACCCCCACAGGCCACTTCCTCCAGGGAGGTGACTGGATTGTACCGTGTGCCTGGGCACTGCCCTGCCTGTGGTCTGCCACCCTAGGCACTGATAAATATCCTCCTGCTGGGCAGGAGGATGAGGCTGTTGTCCTCTTCTAGGCACGACCAGGCAGGACAAGCCGCTGATGTTCCCGGGGGGGGCTGGGGCGG